TCCTAAACAGCCCCCCCACGGATGAGCTGATAAACACGTGGCGCCATCACGCAAAGATTCGCCCCCCCCCCACCACCAACACCCCCCCCCAATCTCCATCACCCCCCTCCACCCACTCCACCCCTTCCACCCACCCACCGACCCCCTCCCCCGACTCCCGGCGCTCGCGGCTTCAAACGTCTCACAAACGCGGGGGCCCCATGGCATTAAATACAACAAGAAGAGTACAAAATAATAAAATAATAAATTCCCCCACGCGGCTAATTTGTCACGCAGCAATTAAGCGACGATCGTATTGGAGGCAAATTTGTCTCGAGCGGTATAAATAATTTGCGGGGCTATGCTGCCCCCTCAGCCGACTGATATGTGTTCCTTAACGGATTATTAGCGTGGCGCAAAAAATGTTGTTCGTGTTTTTTTTTCCAAAAAAAACCCGATACAATACACCTCGCCCATCAATCTGTTTTTTTTTCTTATAGTTGGAAGCGACAACGGTACGGGAGATGTCATTTTTGTTGTTGGTTTTTTTTTAGTTTTTTTTTGCGTCGGCACGCGCGATCCGGCCGTGACGGACGGGGAGCGAACCGCTTCTTCTCTCTGCTGTCGCCGGCGCTTTGGTTTGGAAACTCCACCACCGTGTGAGATTGTTGTGTTCGCGTGAATCCCACCACCAATCCCCCCCCCTTCCTCTTTCTCCTATGCTTTGCCCGACTGAAAGTCACCGTTCGTTGCGCTTCGTCACCCGAGAGCTGTGTGACATGCGGCACGGAGGGGATGGAGAGGGAGATAGTTATTTAAGCCTCCTCCTTTCTCTTCCCCGGCATCGAGGAGGGCTCCGTTGCGTGACACCTACGACGGCATAAAACAAATACCGTCGCAGGGTCGTTCATTTTAATACGCCGAGCCTGACACTTCTCAGAGGGAAATGGGGAGTAATGTTTCTGCCCTGCCTCCTCTAGAACGCTGCAGGCAGTAAACAGTCACCGTGCCGCCACGTGACCATTTACCCTGCGCCGTCAAAACAACAACAACATCGACAACAACATCAACAACAACATGCTGTTGTCGCCACCGTGAGCACCCACGGTGGCTGGGAGATGTTAACTACCTCGCCTGGTATGCAGGAGGTCGTAGGTTCAATCCCGACCCAGATGCCTGCTGCTGTATATTGGGGGTTTGCGTGTCTCTCACCCCGTGGTCGCGTGGATTTATCTGAGCTGTGTAGCTCTTTCTTCAGGAGGTACCTGGCCACAAACGATCGCCCTACGAAGCGGATGGTCGTGTGGAAATGTATCGCAGCCAAACACTCTAAACGCGCGTTTCTAAATGTGGAGGGGGGGAAAACCTCGCAATACCCGGAGAAAAATCCACGCCGCCACGGGGAGAGAGAAACACGCAAATTACAAATGTACAACAGGCGTCAGGGTCGGGATTGAATCCCCGAACCTGCTGTATACCAGGCGAGGTAGTCAACATCTCGCCACCGCTGCCTCTTTTAGCTATAACTCCCTTCACATCACGCCCTCACCCCCGGCTGTCCGTGCTGCCGACTCCCTGCCCCCGTGGCTGACCTCCTCTTTCTCCAAGGCACAAATGGCCCCAACTATTTCGGCACAGCGTCAAGAGACACGGTCCTGTTCGGCCGCTGTATTAGATACACATCGTCTGCCATCCCTGACGCAAGACCCAGGTCGATGCGCTGCCATTGAGTTATCCATTTAGCAGGAGAGACGGGCTTATGTTTGTTTGTTTACTTGTTAGAAAAGCAACAACAACAAATCCACAATGCAATCTCTAGAATGCACACTCGCCACACAAGAGGGGGAACGGACGAACAATGAGAGATGAGAGGGAATGAGCTGATACAAAGCCAACCGAGATTCATTCCCGATGGACGCTGTTGTAGTGCACAGTGCAGTACGTATCTCTGCTCCCGGCACACCGCATCCAGTAGTGTATTTGTCGTTTAGAGTGTTGTGTGTAGTGTTATGTGTGTAGTGTTGTGTGTAGCGTGTGTAGTGTATTGTGCTGTCTGTAGTGTTGTGTGTGTAGTGTATTGTGCTGTCTGTAGTGTTGTGTGTGTAGGCCTGGGTAAAACTACGTGTGCAGGAGTCGGAGCCATTCCCTGTTCACCTTGGGGTGCGACAGGGATGTCCTCTGGCTCCCACATTACTCAACATCTTTTCCACCACGTAGTTCATGAAGCCTTCTATATCTGTACCGGAAGAATTGCTATCTGGTACAGATATAATGGGAGGTTGATCGATGCCCTGGTGCGGTCAAGGGATGGCTCCCTATTGGTCAACAATGTTATTTATGCCGATGATCTGGTGATTGCTGCTCACTGAGAGGAGGAGTTGGAGGTGCTGCTGCTGAACCTGGAGCGTGCCACTTTGAGGTGGGGCCTTACCATCACCCCTACCAGGTGCTGGGTATTTTGTGCCATCAGACACTCCACCCCCTCAACTGCCCATTGGTAATGAGACAGTTGTGGAGAGAGTGGAGAGTTTCCCATACCTGGGCAGTGCGCTCATGACCAGCTCCAGTTTGACAGCAGAGGTCTTACTCCGAATCAGTCGAGCGGCATTATATTTTCATTGGCTATGTAACGATGTGTGGAAGCTACCTGATCTATAATAGAGGTTTTATTTGGGTTACTTGATCTGTCGTTCCACACGAAGCTTCGGGTCTTCTCGGCCACGGTAATGCACTCCCTTCTCTATGCTTGTGAATTGTGGACCCTCCGAATGAAACATCTTTGCCAGTCAGAAACATTTAGGCTGGCCTGTCGACGATCCATCCTGGGTTTAACCAGGCTGCAATGTGTGAGGAGCTCAAAAATACTGGAAAGAATTGGACAAAGTCCCATCGGTGAGCTCCTTTGGCAGGCAAGGCTGCGTTGGTGGGGTTATGTAGCCCACATGCCCAGCCACTGCATGCCGTAACAGCTTTTGTTCGGCCGGATAGAGAAGGCTAAACGGGCTAGAGAAAAATTGGAGTGATGTGGTACAGGAGGATGTGGAGCTGAGTGGACTTGCTAATGAATGGTACCAGCAGTGTCAAGATCGGCCTCTGTGGAGGAGGCTTGTGAAGGACGCTCCTGGGCAGTTGGAGGCAGGCACCCTCCAACAACAACGGAGGGCAGAGGAGCACCGGGTGACTAACGCACAGCAGGTTGGCACAATAGGGGGCACAGGTGGTGCATCAGCCAGTCATCTCAGTCAGTCAACCCGTGGCACCTGGATCTGTCCCGTGACCTCCTGCCAGCGGGCGTTCGACACTTCACGTGGCCTCAAGGTGCACATGGCCTGGCCCACAGGCGTCGTGGTGACGTCACCGCCACTCAGTGGCGAAAGGCGGTTGTTGTTGTAGTAGTGTATAGTGCTGCGTGTAGTGTATCGTACCGTGCGTCGTGTTTGTTTTCCGCTACCAACACGCGCGGCATGAGGCATCGCATCTGGCAAACACGCAGGACGCGCTCTCCTAACGCGATTAAGCCCGTAATAGAAGCGTGCATCGTCAATTAGGAAGCTGCGCCCGATAATCTGCGCTGACGACGCCAAACTCGGAGCCTGGGAGCAATCATCGCAACTCGCCGGTACCCTTTTATCGTCCTCGTCAGGATTGCGAAACCCCCCAGTGGAGGGGAGGGGTGGAAGGGAGGGGGGGGTGGGAGGGGGGGGCCGAGTGGTGGCCACTCTCACCAATTATAATTGGTAACACAATTTTTGTTCCTGGGTAGTAAGTGTTATTTTCGTAATTGCTTATGCCTCAAAAGTATAGAAAATTGCATTTATTCCCCACAAACTTTGCTTCTGTGACCAGGACAGAGATGTATAGAAATTGACCTCTTTTCAATGAGAAAACGGGTGAATTTGTGTTTTTGCGTTCACAAAGTCAGAAAAAAACAACAAACTAATCAAAACATATGAATCAACATATGGTCACGAAAGCAAAGTTTGTGGGGAATAATAGCAATTTTCTGTACTTTTGAGGCATAAGCAATTAGGAAATAACACTTACTACCCAATAACAAAAAGAATAAAAATTGCTACAGTGTTATCAGCGCCATCCGATGAACCGAGCGATGGAGGTGAACTCACACCACGTGTTTTACCCCCCGGGTCTGCAGCCATCACACTCCACCACAAAGACAAAGAACCCCCCCCCCCCCCCCCCCCCCCCCCCCCCCCGTATAGCCTCCACAGACTGTTAGCGAGTAGCGCCGATGAAAGGCGAGCCCGGCGCACGAGGGAGTGGGTGGCCAACACCACGTCCGGCCGCCTTTGTCTCCCCAGTGGCGACGTTTACACACCGCACCGGGGACTAATTTGAGGCTGAGTCGATCTAGGGGAGGTCCAGGACAGGTTCAAGTAATCATCACTGGCGTTGGCCGTGAGCGGGAACCGAACTCCTGTCGCCGGGTTCGTAGCGCGGCTTCCCGCAACTCCACACACACGTGCGCGCGTGCACGTGTGTGTGTGTGTGTGCACGTGTGTGTGTGTTGACCCGTTCACTCGCCCATTAGGGTTCTATATGGAAATCAACGCAGGGCGGCGTGCTGGGGTTATTCCCCTCGCTGAGAGCGATTGCACCATCGAGACACCTGTGGGCCACATTCAGCTCGGCCCTCGCCGTCACACCCCCGAGTCCAATATTCATAGCAGCAGCAGCAGCAGCGTACACAGGACAGGGAGTCCTCTCCGAATGCTTTGCGGCAGAGGTGGGTCACAATACTAAGGAAGTATAAAGTTGCGCTGCTGCTATAAAAGGGATTTCGGGGTTTTTCTTGTTACCCTGCAGACAACCAGCCGCATATATTGGAGAAACAAAACAAGCCGGGCTAAAAGTCAGCGCGCGCATTTCCCCCAACCCCCCTCATAGCCCCCCCCCCGCTCTCTCAGGTACTCTCTCCCAGCCCCCCCCTCCGCCCCCCCCCTCCGCCTCTCCCAGCCCCCCCCCACCCCTCCCAGCCCCGCCCTCTCCCCCCGCCCCCTCACCAGGGTGCAGAAGCGCTCGGGCGGGTCCCCGCAGGTGATGTCGGGCGGCTCGAGGCTGACGCGCACGAAGCGGCCCAGGTCGGCGGTGGGCGGCTGGCACGCCGAGTACTCCCAGGCGGGCGCCAGCAGCTTCGAGTCCCAGCTCACGGTGCTCTTACAGACGTCGTACTGCGCCAGCGCCCGGCGGGGGCCGCACAGACACAGACCCAGCAGCAGCAGCAGCGTGGGCCAAGCCACAGCGAGCCGCACCGGGACTCGAACCCGGACGACGGGGACTCGAGGTCCAGTGTTGGCCACGACTCCCAGCATCACGAGGAGGACGCCAGCGTTACGGCTCCAGGATGGTGGTGGTGGTGGTGGTGCTTCGTGGTGGTTGTTTTGGCGGTGGTGGCAGTGGCGGCGGTGATGGTGGTGGTGGTGGCGGCGGTGGTGGTGGTGGTGGTCTCAGCGATTTGCGAGTCGTAGAGTTCTGTTGAAGAAGTGCCCAGACACACAGACACACACACAGAGACACACACAGACACACACAGACCCACACAGAAACACACAGAAACACACACAGACACACACACACACACAGACACACACACACAGACACACACACACACAAACATACACACAGACACACACACAGACACACACACAGACACACACAGAGACACACACAGACACACACACAGACACACACAGACACACACACAGACACACACAGACACACACACAGACACACACAGACACACACACAGACACACACAGACACACACAGACACACACACAGACACACACAGACACACAGACACACACACAGACACACACACACACAGACACACACACAGACACACACAGACACAGACACACACAGACACACACACAGACACACACAGACACACACAGACACAGACACACACAAACATACACACAGACACACACACAGACACACACACACAGACACACACAGACACACACACAGACACACACACAGACACAGAGACACACACAAACACACACAGACACACACACACAGACACACAGACACACACGTGTTGTCGAACGAGGAAGTTTGACGTGCGACAAAGAGGCTGCGATGAAAGTGGTGCACAAGCAAAGACTCAACATGCGCGTCAAAGAGACTGCCGCGGAAATAGAACAGGCGACGTTTCGTGCAATGGCCCTTCTTTAGAGCACGTGACGTGCTCGTATGTGCTGTGTGGAAGAGCAAATTTCTGCGGAAAAATAAGTAATGAAGTCTAACAGGCGACTTTTTTCTGGAAATTGCTCTTCTACACAGCACACACAAGCACATTGTGTGCCCTTAGAATGCCACGGGAGCTATGCACTTTTACATCTAGACAGAAAACTAATTTCTTTAGAACTGCTTTTTGTGTTTAGTTTGTTGTCCTTCCCCATCTTCCGATTAGCACGGTTGGTTACGTACGGCGCGAAAGAAGTTCAACATACAGTACATATATATGAATAAGGGTCATTGTCTATTATACGTATTTATCCATAACAGAGGTTTTTGGGTAAGAGCGCGTAAATACAAATGTGTCGTTAAACCCGCCACCACCCGACACAGCCAACTAGTAAGGGTTGTCACGTAAACAAAACATGCCAATTCGTTACTAGTACAGCACTAACCGGTTGTGTGTTGGAGAGTGAACCCACGACATTTACAATTCGAGTACCGTGACGTTTCGCCAGCAATCACAACGAGCATCATCTGCCGACAGCCAGAGTTGCGGAGAAAATCCTCCTGCTTCGGTCTTAAACATTTATCCTTTTAAGGCCGCAGCGTTATTGACAGACCTGTTGAGTTTCTTACATGTATATTATGGACACGTTCAACATATACAGGGTGCTTCAAAAATGTTAACAATTCTGAGAATGTTCAACAATACCACTAGAAATGTGCATCCAGGCTCTGGAGACCACCTGGAGAAAGATCCCAGGCAATGCGTTGACAACGATGGCGAACAAGTGGAAGCTATTAACATTACATTTGTTAGCACGTCACAGTGTATATGTATTATCCGTTCTTTTTACATAAGAAGACGATAGTCCCATGTAAGTGTTCACATTTTTTTTTTAAGCACTCTGTACATGTGGGCCGTCTCAACTCCTCGGCGTGCGTGATGCTGCTCCATTGGCTCTACCTGCTGTGTGACTGCTCCTGCTGCTGCTGCTCCTGCTGCTGCTCCTGCTGCTGCTCCTGCTGCTGCGGCTGAGCGCGTGCGCCGGGCTCCCCTCCGCCGAGAGTGCTCCTGCTGGCCACTGACCCCATTACCGGCTCCCAGGGGGATGATGAAGTCTCGTGCCAATTGACCCCCTTATAGCTGGCGGGAGGATCCGAGTCCCATTACCGTGATTGGAATATCCAAGTGCATGCCCACGACGACGACGACGATGATGATGATGATGTTACCTAGAGCCGGAGCAGGGCTGGCTGCCTTTATAACGGAGGAGGGAGGCGGCGGGGGTGGTTTAGATTGCACTGCCACAAGCCCAGCGTTCCTAAATCCACGTTTAAGACTGCTTATGTAAGCTGCGATTATGGATAGGTCACTGATTTTCAAAGTGAGGGCAGAGTTCGTATTGTTTAGACTTTTTTATACTTTTTTTGGGGGGGGGGTGGGTAGAGAGAGTGTGTATTGTGTGTGTGGTGTGTGTGTGCTGTGTGTTGTGTTGTGTGTATGTTGTGTGTGTATGTGTGTGATGTGTGTGTTGTGTGTGTGTTGTGTGTGTGTTGAGTGAGAGTGGGGGGCGGGTGTTTGCGTGCGTGTTTGTTGAGTGTGTGTGCACAAGTGTGTATGAGTGTGTTTACATTGTGTGTGTGTCTGTGGTTGTATGTACGCTTGTGTTTGTCAGTGTGTGTGTGTAGACCTGTGATTGATTGTGTGTGTGAGTGCTTGAATGTATGAATGCGTGTGTGTGTGCGCGCGAGTGTTTGTTAGTGTTTAGAGTGAACGGGTGCTCGCTAACAGCACTTGCCCCAACAGTCCGTTAGAGGCTACCCGGGGGATCTTTGTCTGTGTTAGTGTTTACGTGTGTGTGTGCGTGTGAATGCAAATGATAGGCTAATTTGTTTCCTTCAGCCGTCTTGGCTAATGATGGTGATAATCAACTGCGAAGGATGAGTCCCGGCAGTTGTCGGGTCAGAGGGCAACCTTCCTTCCACACGTGCAGAATTTCTCCGACACTTGTGGAGTCACGGACGTGGCGGCTGTCGCGTTTGTCTCGGTCTCTCCGGCCTGTCGACACTCGCACGGACCATTCATCAAGATCACCACCATCCGTCAATATCATCGTCATTATCATCATCCGCCCACCCACTCGATGTTCCGTGAACAGTATATGTGTGGTTGCTTTGATTAGGGGAACGGTGGTGCGGTGTTTAGTGCGCTGCGCTACGAATCCGACGACCAGAGTTCGATTCCCCTGCTCACGGCCAACATTGGTGACGCATTATCACAACCGGTACTGGGTCTCCCCTAGGTCGACTCAGCCTCAAATGAGTAGTTGGTGCCTCAAATGAGGAGCAGTATTCAGCTGGAACAAGCGGACTTCTCCACTCAGCTACCACCCCAGAGTTCGTGGTATGGCCTACAGCATCAAGCACACAATTTATTATATAATAATAACAATTATTATAAGACATAGGACACCTTTTCAAGAGGGTCCTGCACTGGGAAGCAACACTCTATCCTTTTACCGATGGAAACAGATGGTGATCAGTCCACTTGCTGCCCTCTGCTGGCGAGCCAATGGTATTGCACCTACTGGAAGCCCACGGATCGAAAGGGAGTTTCAGTGCCACGTCTGCGCGTGATCCACCAACCCTATTCTGCTGCCCCCACAGTGCTGGAGGATTACCGGCAGCCACGTGCAGCAGCAAACGTGGCCACCAGCCGACTACTGCGGTCACCTAACAGGCCGGGGATTGCTGCAGAATGGCATTAAGCGTGCAGTTGTAGCCCTGCAGAATGGCCTACAGCATGAAACATGCAGTTGTAGCCCTGCGGAGTGGCCTACAGCATTAAACGTGTAGTTGAAGCCCTGCAGAATGGCCTACAGCATCTAACATGCAGCTGTATCCCTGTTGCTGCTGTTGGTGTTTTGTTCAGATGCCATAGGAGTGTGGGGGAAGAATATGAAGACGACCTGAACGCTCGCCGGCACAAGGTGGCCAGGGCTGCAAATTCGAGAGGGATGATAATCCGGCGATCCGGAGGAATTATGGGGAGTGGGAGGTTGGTTGGAGTCGAGTGAGGAGGTGGGGGGGGGGGCTAATGGGAGGGGGTCAGTAATTATGTTATCACCATCGTCGTCATTATTATCATTATTAATGCATGAGATGCAATGCTGTTTAATTAATCCTGGCAGCCCGTCTCTCGCCCGCAACGTCGCGAGCGCCGCGTGAGCGCATGGCCGCGGCGGACGGACGGACGGACAGAGCCAGACGCGCCGAGACTTACTCGGCGGCTCCGGAACGACGCGTACCACCGCCACCACCAACTCGCTCTATCTTATTTTTGTTTTAAAAATCACGGTTTGCGGAGGCACAGAGGGCTTAAAGGCCCCAACCGCGCCAGGCGGCCAGCGACGAAGAGCACGATTGCAGTTGGAACGGATCAGGGTTATTAGATTTCCGCAGCCGGAATGCCGCGTCGAGTGCACATCTCGCCTAGACACGTGCCACCTACATGCAGAGTAGCAGAAACTCTGTAAAATATTTCCGTGCTCGGCACGCAACGTCGAGGATACAAGTCGCCATGGCCGTGGCTACTCGGCACGTACCACCTACTTGCAGTCTCTCAGCAACCCTGCAAAATTATTACCCGGTGCGGTGTGTGGTAAACATCGCCACGAGGGAGACAAAGACGACCGGGCGTGGCGCTGGCCATCCACGCCCCACGTACGCCGTTCGGGACCCTTCATCGGTGTCCGCTAACAGACTATGCTCGAGAAGGGTGACTAGGGTAGGGGCAGGCAGGGGGGGCCTTGCCCCCCCCCCCACCCCCCTGCTGCGCAAGGCTACGAGTCTGGGCCTCCTTGACAACCACCATGAGATTTGTTTTCAAGTTTAAAAGAACAACAAAATCTAAAAATGCGGTTGACATTTCCTTTTTTTATTTATTACGAAAATGCTTTGATTTAGGTATTTTTTTACGTTTAATTTTCAATTCATTTGACCGTGCGAGACAAATCAAATATTGGGGCACCACCACCTGGCCGACTGCCTCACCCCCTGAGCTGCTAATGCAGCTACGCCACTGACTTTAGCCCCAACAGTCTACCGAGGGCTACACGGCGAGCGTCCCCTTTGCCTCTGCGTCTTGCCACGCGCGCTGTGGCGGACTACAAACGGCCACGGATCCCAATAGGCCGACGCGGTGGGGGGGGGGTAGGAGCGCGTGTCGCGATAATGAATACAAACAAGGAGTGCCCCCCCCCCTACATGTCCCTGTTTTGTGTAGCTCAGCAGAACTCATCCGCAAAGCCGCCACGCGCTGTCTCTCTCTGACCGCGCCCGCGATCGATGGGCGCGCCTCGCCGTCCGTTGGGCTCGTCACCCATCCCTCGCATTAATCTGCCCGCCTGTGCATTCGTCTTCCCGCCTGTTTATTCATCTGCCCGCCTGTTTATTCATCTGCCCGCCTGTTTATTCATCTGTCCGCCTGTTTATTCATCTGCCCGCCTGTTTATTCATCTGTCCGCCTGTTTATTCATCTTCCCGCCTGTTTATTCATCTTCCCGCCTGTTTATTCATCTGTCCGCCTGTTTATTCGTCTGTCCGCCTGTTGATTAATCTGCCCGCCTGTTTATTCGTCTGACCGCCTGTTTATTAATCTGCCCGCCTGTCTATTCTTCTGCCCGCCTGTTTATTCATCTGCCAGCCTGTTTATTAATCTTCCCGCCTGTTTATTCATATTCCCGCCTGTTTATTCGTCTGTCCGCCTGTTTATTCATCTGCCCGCCTGTTTATTCATCTGCCCGCCTGGTTATTCATCTGTCCGCCTGTTTATTCATCTGCCCGCCTGTTTATTCATCTGTCCGCCTGTTTATTCATCTTCCCGCCTGTTTATTCATCTTCCCGCCTGTTTATTCGTCGGTCCGCCTGTTTATTCGTCTGTCCGCCTGTTTATTAATCTGCCCGCCTGTTTATTCGTCTGACCGCCTGTTTATTAATCTGCCCGCCTGTCTATTCTTCTGCCCGCCTGTTTATTCATCTGCCAGCCTGTTCATTAATCTTCCCGCCTGTTTATTCATATTCCCGCCTGTTTATTCGTCTGTCCGCCTGTTTATTCATCTGCCCGCCTGTTTATTAATCTGCCCGCCTGTCTATTCATCTGTCCGCCTGTTTATTCGTCTGTCCGCCTGTTTATTAATCTGCCCGCCTGTTTATTCGTCTGACCGACTGTTTATTAATCTGCCCGCCTGTCTATTCTTCTGCCCGCCTGTTTATTCATCTGCCAGCCTGTTTATTAATCTTCCCGCCTGTTTATTCATATTCCCGCCTGTTTATTCGTCTGTCCGCCTGTTTATTCATCTGCCCGCCTGTTTATTCATCTGCCCGCCTGGTTATTCATCTGTCCGCCTGTTTATTCATCTGCCCGCCTGTTTATTCATCTGTCCGCCTGTTTATTCATCTTCCCGCCTGTTTATTCATCTTCCCGCCTGTTTATTCGTCGGTCCGCATGTTTATTCGTCTGTCCGCCTGTTTATTAATCTGCCCGCCTGTTTATTCGTCTGACCGCCTGTTTATTAATCTGCCCGCCTGTCTATTCTTCTGCCCGCCTGTTTATTCATCTGCCAGCCTGTTTATTAATCTTCCCGCCTGTTTATTCATATTCCCGCATGTTTATTCGTCTGTCCGCCTGTTTATTCATCTGCCCGCCTGTTTATTAATCTGCCCGCCTGTCTATTCATCTGCCCGCCTGTTTATTAATCTGCCCACCTGTTTATTCATCTGCCCGCCTGTTTATTAATCTGCCCGCCTGTTTATTAATCTGCCCGCCTGTTTATTCATCTGCTCGCCTGTTTATTCATCTGCCCGCCTCTTTATTCATCTGCCCGCCTGTTTATTCGTCTGTCCGCCTGTTTATTAATCTGCCCGCCTGTTTATTAATCTGCCCGCCTGTCTATTCATCTGCCCGCCTGTTTATTAATCTGCCCACCTGTTTATTCATCTGCCCGCCTGTTTATTAATCTGCCCGCCTGTTTATTAATCTGCCCGCCTGTTTATTCATCTGCCCGCCTGTTTATTCATCTGCCCGCCTGTTTATTCATCTGTCCGCCTGTTTATTCATCTGCCCGCCTGTTTATTCATCTGCCCGCCTGTTTATTCATCTGCCCGCCTGTGTATTCATCTGCCCGCCTGTTTATTAATCTGCCCTCCTGTGTATTCGTCTGTCCGCCTGTTTATTCATCTGCCCGCCTGTTTATTCATCTGCCCACCTGTTTATTCATCTGCCCGCCTGTTTATTAATCTGCCCGCCTGTTTTTTCGTCTGTCCGCCTGTTTATTCGTCTATCCGCCTGTTTATTCATCTGCCCGCCTGTTTATTAATCTGCCCGCCTGTTTTTTCGTGTGTCCGCCTGTTTATTCGTCTATCCGCCTGTTTATTCGTCTGCCCGCCTGTTTATTCATCTGCCCGCCTGTTTATTCGTCTGTCCGCCTGTTTATTCGTCTGTCCGCCTGTTTATTCATC